ACTACTCACTAGGTCACCAAGCAGCTGATCAAACTGTTTTTCATTTTGCATATGCAATGATGGACTGTGTCGCATGGTGTATAGGGAAAAAACAAAACCGTTCTGACCAGTAACTCAGTAAGTGAGTTGGTAGTATGTTTGCGTTCCCCTTGTGTGAGGTCCCTGGCTCTATCCCAAGCCGGTTCGATTGATTTGCTCTGTTTGGTGAGACTCGAGTCGGCGAAAACAGTTTATCTTTATTTCGTGCTTCACTTGGTTCTGTACACAACGAACTTTCTAACATAATCAAATGAAATCCTCCTCTACTCACATTGATCACCACAATTGTATCCGTTCATCGTTAAGCATGTTTACGGATCTCAGTTGGTTCGGTCTAACACGAAATGGTATGTGAATGTCGAACTGGTGCTGTTCCAAAGATCTGTGACTCATACTCAAAATGTAAAGGGAGGTTTTTGGAAGGCTTACACTTAAACAGCCATTACTGCAATCTGAGACATTCTTGTACAGCGTTCAATTGAGTGATATTTACAGAAGGGTGCGGAAGTTTGAACAATCAGCAATATATAGGTATTCCTCTTTAGGAAGACGTCACCGAAATTTTGTGTTTTAGTAGTATTGTTGGATCCAGATGATACACTATCAAATAAGTAAAGTCTTGTCATAGCTAACAGATGCAGTTAGACAAACGAAAATGTGGTCCTCAAGGCAGCTCTATTGAGAAAATAACTTAACTGCATAGAAAAAATAGAAAGATTTGCTTCCGAGTAAAGAGACAGAAATCGATGGTGCATATTAAGTTAGAGCTCCTGAATAGGATTCACTTTAGATGGAAAAAACGATTTACTTTGTTCACAGTATTTTTCAGGTGCCACTTTAGGCAGAGAGAATCAATTTGATGGTGCAAATATATCAATTTGTGTGAGACTTCCCATTCAAGAGTGTTGGGAATACGATCAATGGTGCTTGAAACCATCGCAGGTTGCTATTTCTTCAAGATGCCAAGTTGTCTGGAATAGCCAATCTAGTAGTGTTTCGGTGATTGAAACATAATAAGCATAGCGTGAATGTGTATTATTCTGTCGGTATCAAGCAATGTCATTTACATTTGAAAAGACTTACAGGTATTTAACTACTGTTTTGTGTTTTTCAAGAATCATTATCAGTACATATCCAAGGCTTTCCAGTGATGATTTTCACGAAATGTGACGCTCGACCAGGCAGACAGAGGGCGAGAAAAATCAGGTGGGGGGGGGCAGTCCAAGGCCTGGGATACGAGTGTGAAAACCCTGGTCCGGGAAACTGAGTCAGATAGCTAGGATTCCTGGTTAGATATCTCGGGATCAAGGTAGGCTTTGTTACATACATTAGAGGATATGACTGAATACGGATAGCAGTGGCGCTCTTTGCAATTGAGAAAAGGAGTTGGTGAACGAACAATTGTTTTCGGATATTCCTAGTCATGCACTTAGATATCATATGGTGGAAAATATTCTTAGATAATGACAGCCATTGGCTCAATTTAAGGTCATTATTCGCAGTCAGAGAGTAATTGAAGGGTGTGTGTATGTGTGAAGGAATGTTCACCGTGTTAGTTGATGTGACCTTTCCCCACTTGGATCAAGTGACACGTCATGTTCTGTCTTGGTCTTCACACTCCGCAAAGGCAATTGGAGCACGTGCACCAATCGTTTTTGAGCACACAGGTCGGGGCCTAGTGAGCGAATGACGATCGCCTCGGACATGTTCAGTGTCCAAATTCGGGCCGCCTTCGATCGATTGAGTGGGACATGATAAACAATATCGAAAGCGTTCTCCGGTTCGATCTTGTACCCGACGAGATGCTGCACGATCGCACTTGAGATACGGCCAGTCTTCTCCTGACTTAACCATTGTGGGTGGTGCTCGTTAACGCGCTGAGACAAACGCCATACAGTACGATCTACTTTACATGCACCACAGATGCACTTAAGAGATTAAATTATCATGAATGAGGTCAGTTTCGGCAGTTTGTCCTTCACTTGCATTCGCATCACCTGCAATGTAGGGGACACTGGTCCAAGTTTGGTTGCGGGGAAAGTTAAGTTCACAGCCGCTCACA